CGTTATTCGTCTGCTGTAATAACAACTAGGGAAATTGCTTTTCAGGCTGGGATAGATCTTATTTTTAAGTCAGTCCGATCGCGAAAAAAGAAGAGATTATTTAAATACGAGGCCGTAGATGAGACATCAACAGATTCTGAAGAATTGTTCAAAACAAAATGTCTTTTACCTATGATCGATACAATTGAGAATGCGTTGGTCACTCGATTTACATAACTATCCAAATTTAATGATACATGGTTTTTTTATACATCAAAACAATTCATGAAAAGTCAAAATTGGAAAAAGCCTGTGCAAATTTAGAAATAAATTTAACCGATGGAGAAAAATGTAACATATCTGGTTGTGAATTGGTTGAGGAACTTTTACACCTGAATCCATTGTTGAAAGAGCTTGAATCATCAGAACCAATAAATCTTCTTCAACTTATTAAACAAAATAATTGTTAATAATTTAATATAAAAGATATTAAATAATAATATATTCCGGAATGTGTGGACAACACTTCGAATTTTTCTGATCATACCTGTAGTTGTCGCTAAAGGAGAACGAAGTTTCAGTAAATTAAAACTTATTTAAGTTCAACCATGTGTCAGGATAGACTGTCAGATCTAGCAATTTTATCTATCGAAAATAGTACAGTATTGCCTAGGAATTAAATTATTTTGAATTAATAACAACATTTGCAAGAACAAAAGCGAGGAAGGTGGCAATGTAGGCTTTTTATTTTATTTTATGTCTTAATTTGTTTCAATTTTAAATTAATTTACGATGTAAATTTGTCTTTTGCGTGATGTGAGCATTGTCTGTGCCATAGCAGTTTAAGTAAATATTGCTATGAATATTGCCTTATGAAAGAAATTAAATAAATATTTCCTTGTGAAAGAAATATTGTTTTTTTTTCACTGTTATTGTTCCTCGTCCATACTAGTACTATGCTATAGATTTTACATAAGAGTGAACTGGGTTGTGAGAATATAAAACATGATCCTGAAATGTGTGCTATATCTCCATAACCTAAAATTAAGAGATTCCATCGACGGAGGGGAGGGGAAAAAACGTCAACAGCTTGCGATACGTCTGAATTGGGGTTTCTCATTTCCCGGTCTTTTGCTTGTCTCGAGATCCCGGGATAAAAGTGAACTGTTTTCCGGGATAGAATTAATTATTTTTAAGGTATACAAAATATCTTGAAATCAAATGATATAATTATTTTCCATTTTTTAAAGTAATTTTAAAGTTCTGTAACCTCCAAAATCATATTAATAATGCTGTGTAAGGTCTATAGGCCTATAATAAAAATTACCTTTAAATAACGTAGAAATTTTCACAAATAGAAAAAAATTAATTAAAGTTTGCTGGAAACTGCATACA